AGGGGGTTGGGACTAGATGATCTGTAAGGTCTATTCCAACCCCTAAATTCTGTGATTCTATGATTCTGTGAATATTGTAATTTCAGTATGTACTCAATGCATTACAAAATAATCACTTCATTTTTAAAAACTTCATCTTGTTTTCTATGGAATGACCTTACAAGTAAGCAAAGTGTCTGTCTTCACTCTGGGTCCAAATGCATTTCAAATCCATTTCTTTTGGAGATCTTTCACCCACTGAAATCTGTATTTTTATTTATCTATGTTTGCATCCAATAATGTTCTATCATTTCTCAGGTTCCTTTCACAAACATGTTTTCAGTCTTCTTTATTGTGCTGCTTACATCCTCAGATTTTGCTGAAGATTACATTAGATTAAAATAGATTACATCAGAACCCGATTGGGAGTACACACACTTGATTCCTTCTAATAATGTCTGTGAAAAAGAAATTAGGCCTATTACAGCTGGATTTTCCAATGAGAAAACAGGTCTTTAAAACATTAGGCATCCATGTCTTGTTAAATTTTCATGAGAATTTATTTCTCTTTCAGACTGCCAAAATGCTTGAAACCAAGCTGTTCCCACTAGCATATTATTGCTGACAGTGCTCACATGAACATGCACAGTGAGCAGTGCAGTAAGTACTCTGATTCCCAAGGATCATTGCATTGGGGACTGTTTTGTAAATCTCACTAGCTCCTTTGGATCCTAATAGGAGTATTGTACAAATTCTGATGTCAACAAAATATAAATACTACAGCATACAATTGGTATTTTAGGAGAAAATGTTCTTGATAAGTCCTTAATTGGATGTGCAGATTAGCCTATACATCATTTGCATACTAAATGCAGATTCTACACCTCTTAGATTGAGGATGAAGAGCTACACACATAGACAATAATAATCCAGTGATGAGCAGCTCTGCCAAACTGCAGTGTTTGCAGAGATCCTTTACACTACACTCCTTTGCAACCTGCATGAATTAGAATAGAGATGTTACTTCTGAAAGCACCTGCTGGAAGTTCCCATCTGTTACTGGTGTCCTGGAACAAGTAGCTTAATGATCATTGGCTTCAAATAGTCAGGCACTGAGTCTAACAGTAATAATCAGTCAATGTCACAATTAGTGAAAAAGAGTTTTATATCTATATCTATCCATAGATCTATCAGCAGAAGCTTGACTAAAAGTATAACATACACCATGATGATATCTGGATGGACCTGATAACTGCAGAAGTTACATTTCAGGTCAAAGGTGAATTTACTGTGCACACATATGAACTGGGAGGTTTCACTGATACTACATGAAATAATAATTTGCCATGTTTTTCTGTCCTTTCAATAAATGATTACAACCCTATATTTTTCTGAGTTTAATGCATATATTGAGGTAACATATGGTGCATTTTTTTTTTTGGCTTGGCTTTTTTTTTTGGCCATGTATTCCTGTTTCTCTTGTCTCACACCATTTTTTCCTTTAGTAGGATTGTTTGCTTACTTCCTTTTCCTCTATACTGTCCATCTTTCCCATCTCATCCCCTTTTTTCTCTTTTGCTTGTCACTGTATTTCCTCCTTTACTCAGTGTTAGAGAAAACTTTCCTTCCTCTTTCAATTGTTTTCAACTTCTATCTTAATTCTCTTTCCATTTTCCTGCTCAGTTCTGTGATTCCCTTTTCTTTCCTTATCATCTTTACTCTTCATTTGCATCCTCCTCCATTCTTATTCCTCACTCTGAAGAGTAATAACCTCCTGTCTAAGCCAAGTGTAAAACAAAGGCAGAATCTCTGTTCAACCAATGCACGTGAATGATGAGAAAACTGTATTTTCCCCTCCCTCATTTTGCTGCAGAAACTGCTGTGATCAAAAGGATCAGGAGAGAACAACCAAACCCTTTGAACATAGGATTGTGTGTTGTGTCCTGAAGTATCCCTTGACCATGCAATAGTTCAGAAAGTATTTTAAGACCTTTATCACTATCTGCATTGCAGAAAATATTAAAATCAAATAAACAAAAACCTCGTTTTTCTGGTTTTTTTTTCCCAGGTGGTGGTGTTGGGAATGAAGCACATGAAGTAAGGGCAGGAGTGACTTCTGCTGCTGCTTCTTCTTCTTGCTTTTCAATTTCCTTTTTTTCTTCTACTTTTTTTGCAAAGTATTCACTGAGGGGAGAGGCATAAAAATTACTGGCTCAAAATATTGTTAGACATGTGACAAGCAGACACACAATACAGGCTAAAGAACATGCTAGGAGGTGGATTAAGTGCACCTATTTAAGCTTCTGCCAGATTCACTGTGTAAAGCTGGAGAAGCCAATGACATAACTTTTTGGTAGTCATTTGCAGCCTTGGTTAAACAAAAAGAACCACAAACAAGTATCATAAACCTTAACACATACTTTTCCAATCACACTGGTTTGAAAGTCATCTCTGACCAGAAAGACTTAGCATGAAAGATCTGTAACATCCTGCCATAACTTCATGACATAGAGCAGTCTGGTCTGGGCTGCTAATCCAACAGGTCAGTTGGTCAGTCAGTTGGTTATCCAAGTGGCTGCAAACTCAAAGGTGGCTGAATTTCATCCATGGGTCACAATCACCCAACAGAGTATGTAAAACACATAAAGTCGTGTAAACAGTTCATTAAAATTTTATTTACACTCACTTTCCAGTTGAGTCCTTATTCCCTTTATCAAGGTTTTCCTAAAGCTAGTCCACATGGAAGGCAATTAGGTGTGTTTGCTACAGTCTGTGTTCTGCCCAACCTTCAGCAAAGTGTCATTCCCCTCTGCCATGAAGCTGAAAGACATATTTCCAACTATAGAAAAGGATGACAGACCACATTACTGATGCCAAGGTGAGGAAAGCCATAATGCTGCCAGGTGGCTCCTCTAATGTTACTGTAAAAATATATTCAGATAACATTTGTGACCACCTCTGATCATCTGTGAACAGCTTTTACCTTATACATTTTTTTGTTATAAAAAGCAGACATATCTCTTTGGAAGGAAAAATATAGCCACTCTTCTTCACTTTGGGATGCTCACAAGAAATATTTGTATGAAAAAATAAACACGGATGTTTACTGAAGAAACTATGAACAGAAGTGGAGTTGCAGTTTGAAAAATCCTCCCTGTTGAAATAAACTGGCACTGAATGAATTTCTTAACTGGAACCTTTGATTCATGAACGTGTTTAGGCACTTTTTGTTCTTAGAGACTCTTATTTTTGTATCCCATGTATGAAATCTTGTCAAACCCAGCATGATTTTCAGATAATTATGAAAACAGCAGGCAATAGCATAGTGGGATGGATCTGAGACTGATGATGTATAATAAAAATATCAGAAAAAGTGGAAAACATTGAATATTCTATATGCTTTTCATTAATGATATAAATTAACATAGTATAAATTAAATAATTTGCATAACATGCAAGACCTACCCAAGCAGGTTATCAACTTGACACTGGTCAGTAGGCTTCAAGTCCCTTAACATAGTGTTCAGTGATGCATTGACCCATTCCACAGCAGTATTAACAGAGTCAATTCTTTCTTTCTCATCAGCTTCAATTGTTTCAGGTAGAGCATTTTCAGGTATTTGAGAATGAGAAGACATTACACTGGAACAAATCCTCTGCAAAAAAACCCAAACCCAAAACAACCAACAATGTAAAAAGGTTTAAAACATTATTTAATTCCTAACTTGGAAAGGTCATTTGAAAGACTAAGATGTGTATGTCCTTACCAGCTCCGCAAGTACACATACCTCCAAGCCTACTGTTTGCTCCACTTACCTTTTTTCACCCAGGACCTTCTTTGTAGTCTGTTATACTTTGCTAATTGCAGACATGAACCAAATTTTTGGACCTAAATTATAAATACATAGGCAAAAATCTTCTGACAGATCTGCTCTATACATATATTATGTTATCAGAACAGAAAGGAGTTATTTTAAGGACCATACAGTCATTAGGACATCTTTTTTTTGCAGTTGTTGGTAGCCTGTTGTAGCATGATTCATCAGCATTCGTGCTTAATGCCATCTCTCATCATCAGGTTCATTTTGTCTTACTTAGATAGTTTGAACTTATCTTTCTGTACTTATGAAGAATAAACGATATTAAGAAAGTTCACTTAAGGAAGAAATAATCTACAAATTTCACAGACTTGCATTAACAGCATTGACTTTACATACGGTGAATGTCTATGAAGTTACATTTAATTCAAGAATGAAGTGAGCTATAGTTTAACTGAGGGAAAGTAGAAATAGTTATTTCACAATAGCTAGTTACAAAGACAAGAACCTGAACATTTCAGGTTGGGGAGAGAAGCACCATCAGTTTTGCACTGCAGGTGATAGATGGATGTGTTTGACTTAGCTATTTTCTACATAGAATCATAGAATTTTAGAGTTAGGAATGAACCTATAGGAATGGACCTAACACATCATCTAGTCCCAACCCCTGCCCTGGGCAGGGACACCTCCCACCAGAGCAGATTGATCAAGGCTTTAGCCAATCTGGCTGTGAACACTGCCAGGGCTGGGGCAGCCACAGCCTCCCTGGGCAACCTGTGCCAGTGTCTCACCACCCTCACAGGGAAAAATTTTTTCCTAATATCTAACCTAAATTTCCCCTCTTTCAATTTGTACCCATTACTCCTTTCCTAGCACTGCAGCTCCTAACAAGGAGTCCCTCAACCTGTTAGCTCAGTTTAAAAGAAGTGTCTTCACCTATACTCTGTTTTCCACCTGTACCATATTTCTCTGGAAGAGTGTCGCACAAAAAGAAATATAAGTAACTGAAAATTAAAGGAAATGGTAAAAGGAAAATTAACTAACAAGGCCAGTATGGGATGTAAGGAAAAGCTACATGATCATTAAGACAAACAGAAACGTAATATCCAAAGATGCACAGTCACATCCCACTCCTAAAATATTGCCCAATTCATGAAAAATAAACTTTACATAATACAGAAAAACTTTCATAAAGTTGATGCCATTGTCTAAATTTCACGACCCTTTTGTTTTTCTAAGTTTTAACACTCAGTTGTGGAATCACAGAGTTTTATATCTCCTCATAAAGATGGAAAATAAAATGTTCCTTGGGATGCAAGTAGAATAGTACCTTGCCCTGATACTGTCCTATTAAAATAAATAAACCGGGAAGAAGCAGCTCATACCTTGTCATTGTTTTTAACTGTGCAGTATATTTCCACTTCTAATGTTGGCTGACCAACTCCATCAAGAACTTTTCTTCCAACTAATTTGCATATTACTGGAGCTTTTGAGAATGTAGACAAGTAGTTAGCCTTAAAGAAAAGAGAAAGAACTTCATTAAAAGTCAACTTCCATGCAAAGAGATTTTTATTCCATGGTCTATATTTTAATTGAATCCACCATTGACCAAATTCATTAATACATTCCAGCAAGCTTTGAGCCCTGTGTGAGAGATGAAAACCAACACTTCTGGTAGGCAGAATTCTCTTTCTTCTTCTTCCTACATGGTCTTTCATGCACCTGTTGAACTATCATAATCCATTATATTTAGATCTCTGTCCATACTTAATAAACAACAACTTTTGCTTTAGAAAAAGGATTAAGTTACTACCTGGGGTTTACTACATACTTCCTTGTTAGTTTCATTATTTACTTGGGTATTGGAGAGTCACCAAACCAAGACTTACTAAGTGGAAGAATTAGAAAATGCTTATGGCTACATAGAAGATGAACATGCCAACCACCAAGCAAAGCAGGAAAAGGTGTTAGCAGCTCTGGTCCCTTCCACTAGTGATGGCAGAACACTTGGAGATAGGAAACAGTACAAGATGGAATGAAATGTTTCAATTCCACAAAGACTTTCACATCAAAGAACACACTAGAAATAGTAGTTTTTAAAGAATTGCTCAGTATTGTAGTGTTAGCAATTCCAGAACTATTAATTGAGGTTTCATTAGGACTACTATAAACAGCATTTTACTAACTGGGAACACATAAAATTGCTGATTGTCGACACTTCCACTGAGGCTTCTGACGAGCAGCTGCAGTGTGAATAGCACCCAGTGCCTTGTCACTGCAGAGCATCACTAGCCGAGCAGCACTTTCATTAGGGACATCTATCCGAACCCTCCTACTTCGGTTTCGTGTCGAGACAAGCCTATTCTTATTAGTATTTTGTAAGATTATTCAATAATCTAAAGCCAAGAGTTCAAAACAAAGGGATGTATTTGGCTCAGCGCCACTGGCCACGAACAGTGCCAGCGCAGTCCTTGGCTGAGTCAGAGAGAAAACACTGAAGTGTAACCACAGGGACGCGGAGCTTCTCACATCAGCCCGGTTCATCACCCCCCTTGCTCTGCAGCAAGCAGAGCAGAGAGGAGCGCGGGGACGGCCCAGTCCCCCCGGGAGCTCCGCGCGCCTCCCCCGGCCCTGCCCGGGGCAGGAGATGCTCCTCCATCCCCTACCAGCTCCCCGTAGAGATCCGCGGGGCGCAGCGCCCAGAGCGCGTTCAGC